CATTTCCTTCAGCCTTCATCCTATCTAACCCTAAGAACGAAACCCTAAGCCTCTTGCATGAATTTTGAGCTTACCTTGAGCATTTTGGGTTTATTTGGGTGATTTTGAAGAAGAAGGTGTTGATAGAAGAATCAAGGGATTAATGAGAGCTTGTAGACCCAGAGGTTTTACATCATTTCAACCCTATTGAAGGTATAAAGTTCTCATCTTGGTGCTTCTACATCATAGATCTAAGTTGGGACTTGAAGTATGCATGTTATGCTCTTTTTAGGCTCTTTGTGAGTTTGAGTCACTCCAAGAGACTAAGATTTGTAGATGTTGCCTTTTCTGAGTTGGTTTTGATTTAAAGTTGGAGTCTTGATGCATTAAGTCCTCCCATGTTTGAGTTATTGGTCACTTTGTGAAGTTTGGGTGTTTGGAATCATGTTTGGGTCCTTTTTGGACCATGAAAAGGTGCCAAGTGGTCAACTTTATGGATTAAGACACTGATATGGACCTATTTGGAAGTTCTGGATGTTGGGTTTAAGTTATTAAGTCATTTTTGCATTTTTTTGGTTTTTGGCCAGGAACGCCGTACGTAAGGATGGGGAACGCCGCACGTTCCAGTCTGGTGTCCCTATGGATGGTCTAGTGACGAATGCCCAACGCTCCACAAGGGAACACCCAACGTTCGTGTCACTAGTTGACTTTTGGGCTTTTGATCTTGTACTTGGTTTTGGGATTTGGGCTTTCTGTTTTGGGCCACGTGTGGACTGATCTGATTGAATTTCCCAGTTTGGGCCTAAGGAGTTTGGAGTTGGGCCTTGTGGGCCCAGTTTAGATTTGGTCCTTAGAGGGCATAGTTAGTAGTTGGGCCTTAATGGGCCCAATGGGCTTGGGTTAATAGTGGGTCTAGTTGGCTGGGCCATTGTTGGGCCCTATATTGGATTAGCCATGAGTATTAATGAAGTTTGTTTTTTAGGTTTTGGCTCAGTCTTTAGAGCTGCTTCTTAGCAGCAACAATTGTAGGATTTGTCTACCATTTGAGGTGAGTTTCCCTCACAATGCTTGTGGGTCGAAGGCACCAATGCCAGGCCTTTTTAGATTGTTATCTTGGTTTATCGTATGCTTGTATGTTGTGGTGATCTATTAGATCGGTATCCTGGTAGTAGGATGTTGCTATGTTGTTAGGATCTGTTAGATCTGTATCCTGGTAGATAGGATGTTACTATGTTGTTATGATTTGTTAGATTTGTATCCTGGTAGATAGGATGATGTTATGCTTAGTGATCTGTAAGATCTGCCTGTTTATTTGTTGACTGGTTATCTCTTTATTGTTATGTACATGTCGACATGTGTGTCTGTGTGTGGTCAGGTTGATGCGGTACTACTTTGTGCTGAAGGCCAACAGACCCAGGGCGGCACATACAGACTGAAGGCCCTATGAGGCAGTCCAGTCAAGCCGAAGGCCCGACGAGTGGTCTGGATAGGCTGTAGGCCCTGCGAGGCGGTCCAGTCATGCCGAAGGCTCGGGAGCGGTCCAGACAGGCTGAAGGCCCGATGAGGCGGACCAGACATGCTGAAGGCTCTGTATGCATGCTGTTATTTGTGTATGTTATCTGTTTGGGTGTTGGTACTTTGGGGGAACTCATTAAGCTCCGTGCTTATAGTTTTGGTTTATGGTTTCAAGTACTTCAGTGGATCGTGGCAAGGTGAAGGCGTGACCGTACACATCCTTGCGTTTTGTTCTTATGATTTCTGGGAAACTCTGATAATGTGAATGTTTTGAAAGATATGTTGAAAGAGATTCTGATTTTTAAGTAATTTTTTGAGAACAACGGTTTTTTTTGTAAACACTTCTATAGAAAAATGGTTGTTTTGAAAAGTTTAAATTTTATGAAATTTTAAGGATGTTACACTTGTAATTTCCCAAGTGTTGTGATCCAACCACAGTTGTTAGTGTTATGAAATTTTAAGTAATTGTTATGTACATTTTTAAGTAATTGTTAGTGTTGTGATCCAACCACAGTCCATCCTATCTGTACTGTGATCTAACCATAGGTTTTCCTATCAGTGTTGTGCTCCAACCACAATCTTTCCTATCTGATCATGAAGTCATATGTAATCAGGGATCATATAGACAAACGAATAGATGACCCACCCGAGAGCGAATAATCATACAAGAACATCACACTTGGGTATTAGGCCAAGAGTTCTTAGGCTATCCAACTTCAATTATATAGAACCTAAACTATCACTATCACATAATCATGTAACATAAAATCGTAGAAAAATACTAGTATGTCCATACCCATAGCAACTAGCCTTCCCTATTTACCCTGCCCCCGACTACTTTTAATTAAGTCCTGTACTGGGCAAGGGTTGATGTTTTCGACAGGGTCGTCAGACCCTATAATGAGGGGGGGGGGGGGATGAAGGTATGTTGCACCTAATCTCACATCGACTAGGAATGAGAGCTACGCATTTCTTATAAGGAGTTTGGATACCTTTCCTGTCAAAACGCATTTCAAAGCCGTGAGGGCAGCGGATCCCATAAGAACTTTGTGGTTAAGCATGCCCGGGAAAGAGCAATTTACGGATGGGTGACCCTGGGAAGTTTTTGTGTCGGGACCACAAATCGAACAATATTATGATACGTGTCGGAGGGGGATGTTACACTATCCTAACATACAAAGGATATACAATAGGATACATGGCATAGTGGAACTCACTTAAATATATCTGAAAGTCCACACACCTCGAACGCAAGTCAATACTTGAAAAATCACGAGCACGTACCACCTATTAACAATCCTTAATCCAAAACTCATATCCAATCAAGTTTGACTAAAAAGTCAAAATAGTAAAAAAGTCAAGTGTCTGGCGCTATGCTTAGCGTAGACATACCTATGCTCATTGTAGACCTACGCTCGACATAGCTCATCTACGCTCAACTTAGCACTAAAAGACAAAATAGTCGTATTCCTTCATCCATACGCTCAGCGTAGCACAATGCTACGCTCAGCGTACACTGTTTACAGAACTAACCTGTTGGTTAAGTTCTTAATCCGCTAAGCCAATATCCCAAACTTTCTATACGTCCATTATACTAAAAAAATAACTCATAAAAATCAAAACTTTATGGAGATGCATGTCCCATGCATGTCCTACACCCTTCTAGGTCAAAAATGGTGAAAGTATGACCTTGAACCCTTACATGACATCAAAACAAGTCCAAACTCAATATCGAAAAGATAAAACACTCAAAGGACATCCTATAATCATAAAGTTGCAAGCTTTATCTAGAGTTCTTCCTTGAACTCCAACCAAAACCTCAAAAAGGGACCCAAATACCATAAAATGAAAGATCTAGAAAGCTTGAATCATAAACTTGGGAGCTTGATGACTTACAAAGGCCCTCAAGATGCATAAAAGCTTGATCTCTTATGGAAACACTCACTTAAGCTCCAAAGAATGATGAACTTCCTTGAAAACTACCAAAATGGCACCCACAACAAACAAAAGGAGGGAGGAGAGGGAAATGAAGGCCAGGGTTTCGTTCTTTAGAAGATGAAGACTTATTTTTAGAAACCCTAAAGTTAGAGATGCTTAAATAGTACCCAAACCCAGAATCTAAGGTTTTATGCAAACAACGGTGCTACACTTAGCGTAGGCATACCTATGCTCATCGTAGCTCTCCTACGATTAGTGTAGGATCATAATTATGAAATCCATCATTTTATACTAGCAAAGGGAATCTTGAAAAACAGATGTTACAACTTGCACCTGATAATCTGATACCACAACTTGTAACATCTCGAAAATTACAAAGAGTGTGGATACTTGCACCTGAACCCACACCGGTTATGAAGGAGAACTAAGCATTCCTTATAAAAATTGTGGATACCTTTCCTATCACAACACATTTTGAAGTCGTGAGGGCAGCAGATCCCATAAGAACTCTTTAGTTAAGCGTGCCCAAGAAAGAGCAATTGTGATACGTGCCAGGAGGAGGGGGGGGGGGGTTACAGCTATCTTCCTTGGTTTGTTGGAATTCAATCAACATCTAAGTTCTTCAAGCAAATTGGTTTTGCTAAATGTTAGTAATTATTATCCATCTTGTTGTTGTTAATATCAATTAGGTTAAAGATCTTTGTAAATCTTAGAGTTTACTTGCCTTAGATTAAAATTGTTTGTTTCCGCAATCATGTAATTAATCTACGAAGTTTAAAGAAAACATATAGTATGGTCTAATATCGGTCCAATAATGATTACATGCGGTTTGGTCAAAAACTAGACCAATACTCAAATATAAACAATCGTTTATGTTAGTTTAAATAATATGAATATAAACAGATGCCAATTTATATTTGAAATTTTGTAAAAAAAAAAAGACATTTAATTATGTGTTTCGAACCGACTACAAAATGTTCTCTTGTTGCCCAACAATATAACGGTCGTGAAAAGGAATCCTATAAAGGATGTCTGGCCAAGGTGGACTCAATTTATCGTCAGCGTTTCATAATTTAACTATCATATGATGATGATGATCATATAATATATACACCATGTAACTCTGTCAGATGTAGGGTTTTTAGTAAACCTTATAAATGTGTCGTGCTGGTTGTCATATTAAACGAGTTAGAATAACTTGACTTTTCAATTGTCCGTTAACTTTTGTGTAGTTTCGGGTCAATCTATTTAATTAAACTAGCTAAAATCTATTACCTACATATTTTTATTTCGTGTTGGTTTCTATCGTATTTGTTTTTGTCAACTCTAGTTTTTTTTCCTATCCGTTCTATCTTTTATTCTTAAATTACTACCTAAAGATAAATAATTTTTTTTCTTTTCTAAATCTAACAACAAAACCAAACACAATCGGGCTTGATCAAATTTTAATCTGGTTAGTTATTAGTCACAATCAAATTCCATTATTCCAACAATCCAAAATGGGCTCAACTAGGCCCATGATCCATTTCAAGTCAACAACTTGATAAGAAGCAATAAACAACTGGTGCTCCCACCTGTAACAGAATTCTCTCAGCAAGTGAAGTGGCCGCGAAGAAAGGAAGCTTCTGTTCACCATATCTATCTCTCTTCCCACTCACTCACTAATCAATTAATGATGATGATGAAAAGAGCAGAAATCGATACCACCGCCCCTTTCAAGTCCGTCAAGGAGGCCGTCGCCTTGTTCGGCGAGAAAGTTCTCGCCAGCGGAGTTTACGCCAACAAACTCAAAGAGGTTTACTTCTTTTTCCAAATCATGTCATTTCTTTTACATTTTTTTAGACTAAAAAAATGAAACTTTAAATTATCAACGATCATTTTAACTTCTAATACGTAAGTTTTGAGTTTTTTTTTTACATAAATTTAATGGTGTTGGAATTGAAACTATGTTAATTCCAACTATATACCAAATTCTTGTGTTCATATCATTGATATTTTATGTATTCAATTATCGTCAAAAGGTTAACATAATACGTTATCGAGTAGAATTTTGTTCGTGGTTGTTTGTTACAATTTGACGTTTGAAATTTAGTTATTTTGACTAAGTAGTTATAATAAAATATAGGATTACTATAAATCTTATCTTACAATATTGGATTTTTAACTTTTTTTTACTAACGGGGTTTTTTGTAAAATATACGTAGTTATATATTGTATTTTTAAAAATTTCTTATTAAGAGACTATTTTTGATAAAGTCATGCAGATTTAACAATATACATTATTTTATAGTTTGATTATTAGATTTTTGTAAAGTATAATGTTGGGATAAAAAATACTATAATAAATAGCTCAATGAAAATACATTACGATCTTTATCTTTAATTTTAATTTTAATATATAATCAATAAACTTTTTTCACTAGATTCTATCAGTACAATGGAGGAAACACAAAAGTTGATATAACGAATTTATTATCTCACTGGAAAAACGATATTATATGGAAAAGAAGGGGATTGCTTAAAAGTGAGTGAAGGCATTCTTTCTGACCGAAGTCACGGGAAAAGCCTTGTGATTTTATGATATAAAATTATGTTATTTTCATTTTTCAGGGTTAACTGGCAAAATATATAAGAAATTTCTATTAATTTACAAGTTTATTCCACATATGATATTTTGTCATTTTTTTAAGTAGAAACCATTAAGTTGCTTAATTTCCAACTGATAATCAATGGATTAACCTGTTATATTTTGTCACTAGATATAACAACTTTTTTTTCTATTTAATTTGGATTTTATTAGATTAATATGCAGATAGAAAACAATGTGAAAGAATATGAAAAAATTCCTATGCCTATCACCATAGAGTTGGAGGAAACAAAGCAAAGACTTGAAGAGGCACAAGAAGATCGAATGCTAATGGCAACTTGTCTTTCTTCTCTACAACAAGAACTCGAACGCACCAAATACGAGCTACAACAACTTAAACAAAACTCCAAAAATCACCCTGGCATCGAAGAGGATTTTGAATTCATAGAAGATGTCACCAAATTTGAAGTGAAACCTGAGAGTACAAGTCACAATGCAACATCCGAACTAGAATTTCAGAAGAAAAGATACGTGACATTTGCAAATCCACCTTCGGTTGCACAAGTTATGATACAACCATGTGATGCCACTGTGCTAGAACGGCATCCTTCTTTGAGAAAGAAGAAAAAGAAGGCCTTGATCCCATTGATTGGTGGGATTTTTACCAAAAAGAAAAACATAATCCATGTTTAATCGATATATGTTTAACTTCAATAAAAGGAGAGTTTATGGAAGTTAAGTGACTTTGAATGTATGATCTTGAGAAAGTTTTCTTGTAATAAGGAACGGTATGAACATAACTAAAACCAAGTGTTTTGTGGGGTTGTTTTATATGCTAAAATAGCAAAGATATGTGAGGAGTACGACTTTAATAATGCGAGGTACACGTAGTTACAACTTGGACAAAGTTACATAAATGATTGTGATCTAGATTCGTATGTTTCGTTTATATATATATATATATATATATATATATATATATATATATATATATA